GCTCCAGCACGTCCAGATCTCTCTTGTGCTGTGGGCTCCAGAGCTGGACGCAGTAAACCAGGTGGGGTCTCACGAGAGTGGAGTAGAGGGGGAGAATCCCCTCCCTTGACCTGCTGGCCACGCACCTCTTGATGCAGTCCAGGATGTCGAGCAGAACTTTCTTTAGGATCCGTGCTGTCTTCCACCCACTGAGATTGATACATTGACAATGAATGGCAGAAACCAAAGGGAATGACAGAGAACATGGCGTTAGCAGTTCGGGTGCTAACAGAGGAGGAAAGCCCACCAGCCCTGAGCCTGCGGACCTCCTTTCCTCTTTGGCTCGAATATACAACTCCAAGAGGAAGATATGGCAGCCAGGTGGCTGATGATTGAAACTTGGTTATTGCAGGACATAAAACTGGGGCACTACAACACCTTCAAAACATTCTCGAATCCTTGGTGATTTGCTTCCTTGCACAGTTCTAGGCCTTCTTTGGACTGTATCTATTTTCATCCTAAAGAAAGGAACACCTAATATTGCAGATAAGATCCAAGGACGCCGCAGCAGGCAGCCATACACAATTGATTTTCTTCCTTCCTTACATTCATTGCTGCTCCACTGCAGGTACTGATACAAGTTTAAACGTGTTCTTAGAACTAATCGTCAGACCACTTTTACCTGAATAAATCCAAAACGTACCATTTTGCTATTTTGTAAAGACCCCTAAGAAGCAGGGAGCCTGTGCTACCCCCTGAAGAAACTGCTAACATGGCACAGGAACGAAAGGCGCAGAATCCATCCCAGGTCCTTCTCCTTTCCTCTTGAATTCCTTGCTTACATTTCTAGCATGGCTTTGCCCTGAAACAGCCTTCTTTTTCTGTTACTTCTCCTGATCAGGGTTTTGAAGGCTATTTTAATACAGACTGTCATGCCAAGATGTAAGCCACAAAGCAAAAATATTTAGTTCAGGACTAGTTGTGGGAAAAAAAGATGAAGGGAACAAGATATGTGGTTAACTAGGACACAACAGAAATGCTTCCACAAATGCAGGGTTAAAGAATATCATTAGAAAAAAAAAGTTTGAGGATTGTTTTTCATTTTTGTTTGTTTGGGGAGGCTTTTTGTTTTTCTCCTAATGGTCATAAACAGAGTTGCAAGACAAAGACGCGTCAAAGAGTTTGCCTTTTTGAGGTATGCATTTTTATTGACTTTGCTTGCGTTCCACCTTGCAAAGGGCAAAAGTGGGACTTTTTTGTGATCGCAGGGCTGGCAAGTTGTACATAGATACCACATGAGTATTCAGATCTTACTCAGAAATGCAGTATAGAATAGATGAGCAGCGTGTGCCTGTGTGGCTGTCTTGCATCAAGATAAAGAGAGAGAATAATGCTGCTGGGGAATTACGTGCACAAAGCTCTGTGAAGCAAGAATTAAAAGTAATGAGATTAAATAGAAAATAACCACATCAGGAATATGTTAATAATTTAATTAAAGGCTGCCAAAGTTGAACTATTCCACAATTGAGGTTGAAGCCTATCGACATGCTCTGTTCTACTTAGGGATTTTGCCACAGATAAATTTGCCTGTCTGGAAATGTTTCTTAATGTATGAGGAAAATGCGGTCAGCTAAGAATGTCGTATGATTGTTAACTTTGACAATGGTGGACTTTGCTAGTTTCTCAGATAGGCTTTTACTGGTGATTTAACGTATGTTTTCTTTACTGCAGTCTCATTTCTAGCGCCTAAGATAAATGAGAATGCTAATCCTTCTGAAAAACAAGAGGGCAAGATTTAGTGCCCCGGGTTTGTTTGCTGTGTTTTCATCTTTATATAACTTCCAAGTCAGACAGAAACGCAGGGTAAAAGAGTCACTTTATAGCAGAGCAAGAAACAACACAGAGGCCGTAACTTTGAAGAACTTGGCACCAAAGATTAGTCTGACACATTAAGGAAACGGTTATATAGATCTTAACAGATCTTTTATATTCTCCTTTTAAACTACCCTGTAACATTTTGTCCAATCCACAGGACGGTATAAAAATGCTGCCCTTTCTGGACTAGCAGATATCATTGGCTCTACCAAGCAGAGTCAACATCTTTCCCATGAGGCATCCCTGTCTTCCTACTGTGTGTCTTGTAGGAGAACCCAAAATACAGAAAATGCCTCCTCCTTAACTGCTGTGCCTGCAACCTTTTACAAGACCACACGTGACTTTGGTTTCCACAAAACCAACTTGGGCTGATGTTCTAAAATGAAAGTGCGCTACCACTTTAAAGGCTCAGTACCATAAAAAAATCCTTTTCTCGGCAGGTTCACATGGTGAATAAGATGACAACCTTTTCTCCAGTAGCAGTTAAAACTGGACCTAGTGAAAAAAAAATGCTTTTTTTTTTTCTGACAAAAACAATGAGAACAACGTTTTATGTCTTGCATTATTTTTTCCGTGACATTTTCCTACTGACTAGTAGAACACTATTTGTGATCTTTGAGCATCCAAAGAGGTGTCTGCACTTACATGATACTATGTCCTAACACCTGTAAAGGATCATACTTGAAATGTATGCTTTCTAAGACGATAATATATTGGGTTTGTATATAAAACAGAACAAAATAATGATAGTAAAAAAATCCTAAATACTTCAATGTTTCATTCAGGTATAATCTAAGCAAATCATAGAATGTGTTTGGCTCGAGGGTACCTTTAAGGGTCATATAGTCCAAGCCGCTTGGCAAATAAAAGACACTTCTGTTCTTGTAGTTAGCAAATGCCCAAGAGAGAAGTGCCTATTCAAAGCTGCCAGCAATGGGGGGGTGTTGACTCTCTCCAGAGAAGAAATAGGCATGGCCACATCCCAGCGGTGCAGCCTGGTCCTGACTACACGGGCAGATCCTGCTGCTCTTCCCTTGGGCACACACTGACAAGAAGAAAACTCATGCTTCACTGAAGTCAGAGAAGGCAGATAAAAGCATGAGGCTTTGCATTTTTTTTATGCCCAAGATCATGAATTTTTTCTTTGCTGGTGACAAGCCTGTGTGCCCGTGTAGGAGACTTCAATAGTCTCGCTTCGAGTGTTCCTCCTCCCTGCAGGTCAGAAGCGAGGCACGTCTGGCGCTTCCCTGCCTGACTGGTGTTTGTCATCCGCAGCTAGGTAGGCAAATTCTGCTTTAAAACCACCAATACAATGTCGTGACAAGCACTGTATTTTTATGAGGGGGGAAATGAAGAAGACAAAATGTTACTCCCATTGACGAATGTGGCTCTAACAATTTCCCCTCTCTGCGCTACGGAGGGTTAACTTATTCATATTAGGGGGTATTCGCGTCACTTTTACCCTCAGAGAGAAAATAAGGGTAACCTAATTTGAGATTTGTACCAATTTAAGTAAGAAAATGGATACTGAATATTTTGAATCGTTGCTAAACTTAACTGAGCATTCAGTGAAGCGAGCTTCCATACGTGAATAAGAGGCTTTAAACCGTTTTCCCATATTTTTAAATTACATTTGTTACTTGTGATTAGCAGCTTTCTGTCATTCATATGCAGCGTACTGCAACTGAATGCAATGAACTGACCTTCTTCCGCTTATTAAACTCACTTGGTATTTAATTATTAGCATGCAAAGTCAAGCAGAAAAACTAAGGAGCATTTATAAGTAAGATCATTGTGTTTTATTTGCAATGAATAGGAATATTTGTTTTCATTACTTTTCATAAGAAATTTATTACTGCTTGTTTTGAATCGGAATAAACACAAAAAATAGAACATCTGTGTCAAAGTTTAAAAAATACGACAATCAAAGGCTGCTTAATCTCATCTATTTAGTTCTATCGCACAGTCTGTTCAGTGTAACTTTTTACAACATACTGTGCAAGAAAACAGGTCATTTAAACTCAGTAATTAGTATTACAGATAAAATGACACTGCAGCAATGTTAATTACTATAGTACTGATGTAGTATAGGATATAATACATAATAGTCATGTCTTTAGTTTTAAATTGAAGTGCAACAAAGCATATTATTGCTACACTTCCTCTTCTTAAAGTAAATTAATGTTATTCAAGTGTATCATTTGTATTCACGCAGAATGTTTTTAAATAAATCACAATTGTACTTAAACTCAAATTAGCATATTTCACTTTCTGATGGCATAAATTAAGGAACCTCTCGCTATAGGAACTTTTCCTATGACAGTGGAAATTATGACAGAATTATATTCCATGTGAAAAATCTCCACAATCATTTTCTTTTTCATTACAGCAGCTGTAAATCAGTTTGCAAATGAAGCACACCATTCCATCTCTTTAAAAATAAAGATGAATCTTGAAGAGCGTTACAGCTACTTAAGGTGTGGTAGGAACTAGAGATATATGGTCAAATTGTAATTAATTCTGTGCTGCTGTGGCTAAAATATCTGACAATTTTAAACATAAAATATTCATAACAAAACAAAGAGACTTGCAGAGGAGAACAATGAAAGTTTTTATCTGCAGCTCCAGTAGGAGCAGGGCTCCCTATTTATGAATAATTATATCTCTGATTTTTGCAGCACCTTTAACTTTTGGATAACTTTGTTATAAATATTAAAAGAAGGAAAAAATGAGTTAAATTTCAGATTTGTTCAAGTCTACTTAAATAATTTATGGCAGCTGAAATGTTCCCATTTTCACTGCAGAAATGTAATGAAGCCATTACTCAGACCTTGCAAAAAAAAAATTCAAAAAAAAAATCTAAAAACCTAATTATTTGAAAGTGTAATCATCTTATTCACTGTGTTAACCATGTGCCCCTGGCTAAAATATGGACGTATGGATTATTTAAATATACAGTCTGAGATTCAAAGCAGAAGTTGACGTATAACCTGAGGTTGTGTTTTCATCTCACAACAACAAGATGTATGGCTACATTTAAATGAAGGTGTGGAAGAGCGAAATCTTGAAGTACAAGTAACTAGTTTCTGGGATTTACAAATTATTTTGAAAATATGGTTTTTTCCCCCCCTCCCCATTTTGTTTAGGTCAGTGGGACGATGTATAATACAGGGAGACATGTATCTCTACGGTTAGACAAAGAGCATTTGGTCAACATCTCCGGAGGACCGATGACCTACAGTCACCGCCTGGAGGAAATCCGGTTACACTTTGGAAGCGAGGACAGCCAGGGCTCAGAGCACCTGCTCAACGGACAGGCGTTCTCTGGGGAGGTACGTCACCGTATTCCAAGTTACAAATGAACTACAGGATGAACTGCTCGCTTTCTATTTCTGCCTAAAGGTATTTGCGGGCTAATTTGTACTCATAAAAATTGTTTCCCTTTATCCATTCTGAAGATCAGGGAATTGCGCTTTTTTTTTTTTCTCCCATGCACTGCAATTTGTGTGCCTCTTGTGAAAAGGAAACTGTTGCATTTCTTGTATGCATAGACATCCTCTGTTCTCCTATGCACCATTTAAAAAGTAGTCAAGTATCTTTTGGTGAGTCCTTTATATCCGTAGTAAAGGCAAATACAGTAATAACAACAAAGCAATACTGAAAGTGCTTCAAGCTGTTACAAAAGTGCTACTTTTGCTACTCACTGGTGTGCAGCACTTTACATTGAGCATCATTCTGCCTCTGATTCACATAAAAATGAGTTGATACCTAATTTTAGAGATGGTTCCAGAGAAGGCTGTTGGTCTGCTGAAGAGATAAAGTTAACTTCACAAACAATCCCTGCCAGAATTGGAACCTGCTTTGTATTTTAAATATGTCTGTAATTGTTCCAGGAAAGACCATAATTTTATGATCCTGACACGTATTTCAGCATGGCCCATTACTCTTAATAGATAAATATTTCATGCAGTACTTTTTCAGGATATATAGTCAAGTTTGCAGACTTTCTGGTAGATCATCTTTGTTCTTCTACTGTAGAAGCATTTTTGCATCGAAGAGATGTAGAAGCATTTTTGCATTGAAGAGCTGATCCTTCTTCAGCTTGTGCCACGTCTGTGATCTATCTAGCATGCAACTCTACTCCACGAATCTTAAATAATGCTTCAGAACAACTACCTATTACTCTTGAGATTCTTTTTAAAGACACTGTAGTTATCCCTGTTACCTTTCTTTCAGAAGACCAAAATGAATAGTGCTTCATAATAAAGCACATATTTTCTTGGAGATGAATAATCAAATTACCATCTGTACTATCTATCACAGGCTCTGGTGATGAGTCAGTTAATACATGGCATTTTCTTTGGCATTGTGCAGCAGCAGTTATTTAAGAGTAGGAAATTAATTGCAAAGTTGTCAAATGATGGTATTATAATTTATGGTAATAATTTGCTTTGTTTTATAAGCTACATAGATGCATAATATAGCCAGTGGCAGCTTTTTCATGATATTATTCATGCCTTCTGGTTGCCTTCATTAAATTCTATAAGTGAACATATAATGTATTACTCCTCTAAGAGCTGAAATTTTTCAGAATGCTGTAGTAAATAAGGCCTTTGCTTTGCTATTCAGATTTACAGAGGAGCAATATTCAAACAAAAGCAAGCTGACTGAACAAGAAAGCAAAATACCTGGTTGAAATGTACCTTTGCTCTTGATATGCTGTATCACCATCATTTCAGATATTTTTTAACAATTTTTAAGTTTTACATTCATGAGTCAGACTATAACAAAAGGTAAAAACGTAGAGCATCGTTTTGCAACACGATGCTTAATTAGGCTCTTCTGGTTTTGAAAGTAGGAGTTTTGAAGTACTATTAATATTTAGTGTTTGCTAACAGAGACCTCTCGTTTCTTCGTAATAAAAGCAGAAAATCTAGCTAAGTGGAAACGACTGTCAGTCAGTCAGTTACGCAGAGCCGGATCCACAGTACATGCAGGATTTCTCTACCTATCTGAATTCTTCCTGCAGTGCATAGAAAGAGATTAGCATCTTCAGAAGATGATCATTGCTGATAGCCAAACATGCGTCGCTTAGGAGAGGACAAATCACTCTGTGGAGATGCATCTCCCTTGACGACAGAGCAGAGACAAACAGCAGGCCAAGTAGCTTAGACTAGATGCCTCCTTTTCTGATGAGGAGGTGAATTCTGTCCTTGGAGGATGTGTTTTTCAAAGTTTCAGATAGCTGCTCTGGGCAGCTGGGCAGGTAAGTTCCCATAAGGTCAAGTATTAATTACTAATTTGAACCTGCATCTGCACAGTTAAGTCCTGTTTATGAAGCACATATCATTTCCAAAGTACAAGCAGAGATTTGAATCAATCATGCAGAATAGCATGGCTGCAAATTTTCACTGACGGATGGCAGCTCACAGTGTTCTTAGAATATAACATCCACCCATACAAGTGTTGTCTGTATAAATAAGTGATTTTCAATAAGCTTTCAGCACAGGAAGATGCAATATCTACAGCTCCCAGCAACAATGGCAAGAAAAACGTAAACGAATTAGCTGACTTTACGATAGAGTACCTGCCTTTATAATGTAATGTAACACAATGAGATTATTCCTACTCCTCCTTTCCTCCTTCCCCATCCATACCTGTCCCCTCATTTTCACTGACATCTCCAACACGTGTTAAAGTCAGCACGTGGCAGAGAGAGAAGGGGAACCTGGGGAGAGGTCAGGGAGAGAGCAGTACCTCTCCTGCCTGAGACTCGCAAACCATTAGGCAGGCTCAAACAGTGGCTTAAAACAAAGTGCAGACAAGCAGAAACTTGTGAACAGCCCCGATATGTCTTGAATCAGCTCCAGTGTGCTTGACATATCTGAAATCCCACCTAATATCCGTGCTAAGCGCAAAGTTTCATCGCAGGGATTGCTTTTGCCTAGTGAAGATGTTCTGCAAGTGGGCAGGCACTCAGAGCAAGTTAGAGAGCACTCGAGTGGTACCATGGCATGAAAAATAATCTGGAAATAGGAGGTTGCCTCAAAATATACTGTGGCCTGAATGATACCAAGAGGTTTGTAATTCGCAGGCTTTAACATTTAACTACCTGTTAAATGCTGTGAACAGAGATGTCTACAATAACCTGTTTACATTTTAGCCCCTAATTATCACTTTAGTAGGCAGAATAACTGAACTAATGCTGAAATAGTTTGAGTGTAAGGGCTTTAAAAGCGTGTGTCAGATTATCATCGATACAGTTATCATCAATACAGTTTGGCACTGCTAACAATGAAAGAAAAGCAGACTTTAGAATGCTTAAATAAATAAATTGAGCATTTACTTGTCCCTCGGTTACATACTTGAGTGTATTTAATTCCCTATTCTTTGCATTAGCATCCTGCTGTATTATAATGATTAGAAGAAAAATCTTGGCGCAAGCAAAGTCCCAAACTAAGACACCAATTGTGTCTGCTGCCTATTGCCTCTATGCAAAAGATTTTTTAATGCTTGAGAGTCCATATCGTTACATGAGAAAGACCAACTTCCTTTCAATACTTCAGAATCGACCGGAGTGCTGTTGTTCAGGAATTGTCTACTTTGTTAAAATACAAAAGGTAACACGCTCCAAAAGGTTCATCGTGAAAATAAGACCCTAAAGGGTCCACACTTTACTATGTGGCAAATTCATAAAAATCCATACCATTTTTCTTTCTGTAGCAGAAAAAAAAATGTGCTGTGGGAGACTTCTAGCCACTTTATGGCTGGGGTTGTAGTAGAGTCATAAAAATCCATACCATTTTTATTTCTGTAGCAGAAAAAAAAAATGTGCTGTGGTAGACTTCTAACCACTTTATGGCTGGCATTGTAGTAGCCTTATCAGTGCAAAGGCAGAAAGTCAAGGAGCTTAATTATTTGGGGTTATGCACTTTTCACAAACTCAGTGGCTGGAGACTTTCAAACAAGAGACCAGAGTCAACAACACATGGAAAAATTAGATTCCTCCTTCTCTGCCCACCGAGTCACCCTTCCAAAACCCACTGACAAAGACTATAAACACACAGCGGTTTCATCGCTACGCAAGAAGTACAATGAAAGCCAAAATACTATCTAGATAAAGGAATGCGTATTGCAAGGTATAAACGCAGCTTGGAAACGAGATTTATTTTCTGCTGCTAAAAGCCTCTAAGAAAACAGAATAAAATACAAGAAATTGAGAGTCAAAGGGGTAAACTTGAAATTCTGAGATACCAGCTTTCTCCTACTGCTGCAATTTCTGTAACTGCAGGCATATTCTATGTGAGTGGGGAATTTCTAGTGATAGTAAAGGATTACTTATCAGAGATCAGTGTTGCAAATCCACCTTCCGATATTTTTAGACACAGGACTGTCAGATAGACAGCCCGCGAGAAGCATCCAGCCAGATGGAATAATTTAATCCAGCCTGCTGTAGAATTAGTCTGAATTGTTAAATCAGAAACAGTGGCTCTGTCACTGAGACCTTCTGTACACCTTTGGCTTGCCTGTGTGGTTCCAAATAACCTTCCCAAAAATGCTAATGTTGGTATTGTTTATACCCAAAAACCCCACCAAACCACAGAATCATAGAGTGTGTTGTTGCTGGAGGAGACCTTTAAAGGTCATCTAGTCCAACCGCCAAATAAATCTCTCCCCCTAAAAAAACCTTTACTGGTATAAAACATTGACTTTGTATTATGTCTCTAATTACGTTGGTAAAACAGAACAAGCCACAGTCAATAAGAATATGAGAAGAAATAGCAAGTGCAGGCCAACTATATTTTATTACTTATTGCAAACCTTTTACATCTCCTTTCATTTGATAAGGCCCCTATCTTCTTCCCAAAAACTTCACCACCTGGAAGGTGAATGTTCAATTGTGTTTCCCACGTGACATTTGGCTTAGGACTCTGCCTCCTTGTCTAACCTGCACCTACCCCATACTTAGATACCTCCCCCAGGTTGGTTTTTCTGTTTTGTTCTCTATAGGAAGCATCACTGGGGTGAGAATTTGAGAGTCTGGCTCTTCATCAGACTGTGCTAGCACATAGTCCTTTCTCAGGAAAGGAGCATTAAACCCACTGGCGGTGCCTCGGTGCCTCTTCGTAACCACGCTCCCACAGGTGGTTACAACCCCAAAGCAGAGCGAGCTGTGAGCCAATCCCTACTACAGCCCGTAACGCTGGCACTGCTGCCAACAGCTTGCAGAAAGAAGTTTGAAATTCAGATCCGTCCGTTGCCACAGGCCATCTGTATCACCTTTTGGAGACTCCACTGGAAATGGCGCAGGTCGTTCTCAAGTATTTCAGCC